ATGTATAAGCCTATGGTATGTTTTTATAGGTTTCCCAAAAATCAGTATATACAGTATATTGGAAACGATGGTCGTAAGCCTACTTCTATAGAAATTCCTGTACGACCTCGCCAGACGTATTCAAGTAGCTATTTACATATCGAATTACATTGCGGTTTTTATTACCTATACCTTTCCTTGTTGGTTTCCTCATCCTATGTGGTTGATGATGAAGTTTAGATCACGTTGTGACGTCTCTACAACTTCGCCAACGCCATTACCATCGTCATTATATTATTAATCATCGTTACCGTAATCATTATCATGTCATAACTATTATTATCATTGTTCTCGTTATTACATTTTCATTATCAACATCTTTACTATCTGACCGTCCTCATCAATAACGTCACATTCTCATCATCAAACTGTCATTACATCATTATCATCATTATCATCATCGGTATCAACTTCATCATTGTCCATCATCAATGTCGATTGTCACAATCGTTATCATTACAGACATATAGGCCTAATAATCATCATCTATCATCACATTAGGCCTTATAATCAGCATCATTATACTCATCGTTATCATAACCATTATCAATACAGCAACTTTATCGTCTTTATCGCCATCATACTAAAGACACTTTTGTAAATTTAGTCTTTAATTTTAAATTAGCCTACCTGTAATAGGCCTGCAGAAAAAGAAAAAGAGTTTAATACATATGTAGCGACTGTATCAAAATATTCATAACAAACCAAATATTAAGCAATATCATAAATATATTAAAACAATTCAATGTACAGTACTTTCATTCGTTTCTTATTTTACTTTTCTTCGAGTTTATATAACCAGCTGAGAATAAATATTCAATGAGAAAGAAACTAAGGAAACTAATACAACTAATAGTGACACATTGTTGTTATTGTCAACTTGGAAAATGTAAACTGATTATACAAAATTTTAAAAACATTAGATAAAAAAAGTTAAAAAGCACAATATGATGTGATTTTTTGAAAACATACATAAATAAGTCGGAGAGAATTTGCCCTGGCGCATAAAACTGAATATGTAAATGATCATAAGCAAGCAATGATATTTTGCTGAAAAGACATGCAGTGAATTGCTTTTGTTACTTTTTTGTATGTCTTCATGGTAAAGTCCTTCTTATAACTATTGAAATTGTACGGTAATAAAATGGCAATGTGTACATGAATGATATTGAAATCCATGTGCGAGTACAGTATCAAACAATGGCACACTCTGCTCGACAGGTCGCGTTGGCCAACGCATGACCTCAGAACTTGAATAAGTCATGAATATGGAACGTGAACTGGAAATGCAATATCCGCAAGGACGTCCACACACAACTAGCAGCTAAAAGAGGAAGTGCGATTTCCATGTGAATAAAAGCAGCGACATTGAGCCAGTAGTATACTGACCCCTAGCCAGTATAATCATATCCATCCGCTAAATGTAACAATAAACGTTTATCATATATACATCTGGAAAATAACAGTTTAAATTATTCATGTTATTATAGTGAAATGTAAAAATCGCCGAAAATCTTTCTGAAAACTATAAAAATTTCACAGTACTACTTTCCTGCGCATTGAATGTGAACCCGGTATGTATGTGACGAGGCATTTTATTGCTTCCGTTCCGTGTTAAATCTAGAGCGAAGATGTCTGACTGCTGCTAGTCGCGAAGGCGAGAACCTGTGTGCTCAACTTTTTTTTTATTTGACGTTTGAAAGATGGAAAAACTTGAAGAAAATGGATAATAGGCCTAAAGACTAAGGAAGTATTTTATACCGACAGCCTTCATTCATGATGGAGGATAGGTTTTCTGATGAGTAAGTCAACAAACTTTCTTTTTAGATTTGAAACAAAACTTTTTTCTCCATGCCTCATCACGACACGAGCTATCATCATGAGCTAGCCTAGCCTTATAGTTAGGCTGGACACTACACACATAGCCAGCTGAGTAGTGTGATTGAGAGCATGGCATGGTCCATCATGATGGTGCATGGCATGGAGAGACAAACATTCAACCTGGTTGACACCATGGAGGTTGTGTCATATGATTTAGAAGTGAAAACAGATATCAGGTTTAACTGGCATCATATTATTATTATGTAGATATTCCATACTATTACTAGGCCTAGGCCTATATTATTAATATTAACATTGTTTTTTTAATTATAATTTTTTTCCTGTTTTATTGATTGTGGGCCTAGCCTAGGCCAGGCCTGAGTTAGCCTACCTAGGCCTATGCCTAGCTAAGGCTAGACGCTAAGGCTAGACTAGGGCCTAGCTAGGCCTAGGGGTCTAGGCCTATTTTAATGTAACCTACCTAGGCCTAGGCCTCTAGGCCTTGTGTGTGTTTGTGTGTGTTTTTTTTTAGTCACCATTGATTGACTTAACTCCATCATATTCATATGCTCCTCGATATGACCGGTTGACCCGTCGACAAGTTGAGCCGCCGGTAATTTCTATGGAACGCCAAGTGCGTCTCTCAGTGAATGTAGTTGGCTTGCCGATGTCATCAGTGAATGAACCCCCCGGATACCAGCTACATATTCATCCCACAGTCTTGTCAGTCGTTGATTTGCTCGTATTGTCGTTTGTGATGTATAATTGTGTAATTGAAAATTAAAATTTTGATTATTTTATGTACTACATTTTTATAAAAATAAATGAAGTTGTAGAATTGCAAAATCGTATTAAAAATGTAATTCTATGTACTAGGCCTACATTTTTATAAAAATAAATGAAGTTGTATAATTGCAAAATTGTATTAAAAATGTGTTTATTTACATTTGGTTTGCGGCGTATTTCAATTAACTTATTCGTTATTTGTACTATTTTGTTAAATTATTTAATTAAATTATTGATAAATGATAAGAATGTATGGAGTTTTTTTTTACTATCTGGCAAGCTGACTGAGCAAATAAAAAATAAAATAAAAAAATAAATTAAAACGATAGAAAGAACAAGTAAATATATTGAAATACGTCCCAAAAATATTTAATAAATCAGTGCAAAAACCGAGTATTAAATAAATTGAAATAATTGAGTAAATAAACTGAAATACATCCCAAACAACAGTACCAAGAACGAATATGTTAATTGAAATACACCGCAATTAACGCACTACATTCACTGAGAGACGCGCTTGGCGTTCCATAGAAATGACCGGCGGCTCAACTGGTCATAATCCGTCAAGGATAGGCTAGGCCTATTCCTAACCTAAACCGCCTTATTTATTCTATTCCCACCTGCTTTGAGTTGAGGCCAAGTCCACTACCTCGGCTTATCCATCCATGCCTAGGCCTAGCCCAGCATTCATCTTTAGCCTAGGCCTAGGGATGTCACAGTGCAGTCAACACATAGTTGCTAGCCTACTACCTAGCATCCACACTTGCTGTAAAGTACATTATTTCCATGGTGGGGGAAAGGGGGAAATAAATCAAATTTAGCCAGAAAATCACATGATAAACACCAAGGTAAACAGAATCGTATTTGCTGACTGTGTGTGATACATTGGTTTGTATTAGTTATTAAGACATAAACAAGGGCACCAAAAATTGTTCGCAAAATCCGCAGACTTAATTCTACGCCTAAATTTGTGCTCATGGATAGTCCTATTTTCCCTGGTCTACAGTCTGGCCATGCAACAAAAAATAATATTTAAAATTGATTACAATAATAAAGCACTTAAAGCCAGGATCTGGAGGAAAATTGTTGTACGACTGATTTTTCTGACACAAAAAGCATATTTGATGAAAAAAATTGAAAGCAGTTAATGAGATACAGATCTTTGAATATTGAACAACTTTGGGGAGAGGGGGGGGGAGAAGTGAAGGGTGGTTATACCCCTTTTCCCCCAGATTTTAGATATTCAAAAATCTGTATTTCATTAACTGCTTCCTACTTTTTCCTCAAATATGCTTTTTGTGTCTTTGAAAAATATATTGTACAACATATCAACAATTTTGTTCTCTCCGGAGCGTGGCTTTAAATTCTGTGCCATGCCATTGCTCAAGGGTTAGATTTAGGATTCAAATTTGTTTGTCCAACAATAGGAAATGAACATGGAGTTTTTTATTTTAAAATTTATATAAAAATAGTGATTCTATAGAAATAAAAATATAAATTGATAAACTGTAATGTAGATCTAAGTTTAAACTATATAATCAGTGTTCAGATTTAAATTTAAACATTAAAATATAGGCTTTTCTCTAATTAAAGACCCCTTTAATATAACGACCACTTTTCTGTGGTCCTACGGTATATTCACAAATGTGTTTTATCCTTATTATTGTATTTAAAGACCAAAGTTACTAAAGACTATGTACTGTAAACCATGATACCAAAAGTGGTCTTTATTTGGAGGGAAGCCTATAATGTCATTTTTAGCAGTAATTTTTACCTTTAGTAGTACAGTAGCCCTATAATATTTTTAAGCAAAAAATGTACCGGTAATTATAGTTTGTCAAAATTGGGCGATACATTTCATTCATTATATTAAATTATTTTAATATAAAAGGCTTTATTTCACTGAATATGTACCAATTGAAATGCCCTTATGTAAAGTCAATGTTCACCTATCAGCTTTTGCCGTCTGTTATAAATTCTTGACTTTTATGTTCACCAGGATTTATGCCTGTCCTCTTTTTTTATAACTTTAACCTTCTTGCTAAAATCAAGGGAACCAGAAAATTAAAGCACTGTGGTGTGACCTTAATGGATTTCTTGTCAATGTACACCCACCAGATGAAAATGAAAAAGAAGATGAATCTTAATTACATTGGAATGTCTCTCAATTTATAATCCTTCATTGTCATGTGTTTATACTTTTCAATTTACAATATTTATTAATGATGTATTTTTTATTTTCATAAATTTAACATTTTTAATGGTTATGGCAATTTAATTTTTTTTTCTACCACTTTCTTAGCACATTTGTTTAACATTAGTGCATGTGGTAAATGTTTAGCTGGATTATGCAGCTTTACAATTTGCTAATTGACTTATAATTGTAGAATATTTTGATGAATATATTTAAATACTTAAATACAGTGCTGTGCTAATAATAGCTTGTATAGCAGTTCATAGGCTTTGTGCCCTTTGATATCTTTTGTAATGATAAATAATTACAAGTGCATATTGACAGATGGAATTCATTTGTGACTTGCACATGGGTGTGAGAGAAAGGATATGACATCATAGCCTGTGTACAATATTTACATTGTTGTAGTCAATTTTGTAATGTAATTTCTCATTTTATGATTCATGTTATGATTTGAATTGTTTTTAGGGAATCACACATTCTTCTGGTGACAGTGATGTTAATTGTATTTTGTATGTTAATTCTATTAGTGTCCATCATAGCAAATGAAAGTACATTAGAAAAAATATTGAATATGGGAAAATACCAGATGTATAAACAAGGCATAAAGAATGGCAGGATTTCCTGAAGCAGCCTCATCATATCCTATAACCTGCATCATTATGGCTTAACAACGGAAATATTTATTTTGTTTCTCTGTTGAATGCTTAAGCAGTTGAAAATTACCATTCTATTATGTCACTAATAAAAGGAAGTTAGTGAATACAGGCATAGAATTGTGTATTGCATTTGAGAAAGCTATGTAGTACAGTACTGTAACTCATTTGGTTTATCAACCAATTCTCCCAGACAAGCTTTTTCCATTTGTGCAGCAGCAGAGGTCTTTTTTCGGGTGGATAAACTATTAAGGTCAACAAATATGTTTGCTGATGACTACCAGAAGACTGTCATCTATCTGTCAATCATCTTGGGCTTATCCCTAGCTTGTGACATCACTTCTGATAAAGTTATTAAAGACAATTCAAGCAGTCTATCAATAATATAATATAACTGTTGTGCTATATAAATATTTGTCATTAAAAAGATTCCAACTTATTACATCCTTAATTAAAATTAAATTGTGTGCTTTCTGAAGCTTGCCCTAACCAAATTCAATTCCATTCTATTCCAATAAAATGTGTTAATTTCCTAATGTGTTGAATTGTAAACTCTATTGTTCAGGAGACCGTAGACAAAATTAATGAAAAGAAAAGTTCAAAAATATGTTTTAAAACATATTCATAAAATATAGTCCATTTAATTTAATGGGAATTTTAATAATACCTTTAAATTGGCTGGTAATCAATTTAGAATGTTTGTAGTGAAAAATATCCAGTAAATTAAAGAAGTTTTTTTTTGTTTTTTGTTTTTTTTTTCAGTATTTGAACTACAGTAATTGTTGCCACTTCATGTTATTACCATAATAATCACAAACTGTACATGTTGATTGTCAATTTGAGTATTATACAGTTGGCCTTTTTATGGTTAACAACATATCAAAGTACCAGTACACTGTCAGTGTGATGGAGTGTAAGCTAGTGCAGTGACCTATAGAGTAAATTTAGGGAAAAAAGAGTTAAGGGTAAAGCACACAGTATGGTAAATTTTTTAACCTGAAAGAAGGTAACCTATATTTGAATTTATCAGTGTAAAGCTATGTAAGTATTCTTGAAATGGAAGGCTTCAATTAGTCAGAATCTAAATCTCTTCGTATAGTCATTTCCTTCAATAATAGTCAGTGTCACTCCCTGTACCTTCTTTCTTGTCTGTTGGCCCAGTAAGCACTGCCTATTTGGCTTTGAGCATGAGGTTTAACATATGTGTTTTGGTATATAGACATAGCTCATTACTGGGTATCTTAACCTAGTAGTTGTGATTCTTTACTCAGGGTATTTTTAACATATGCACAAAATATTTAAACTTTTTTTTTGCAAATAACATCCTCTTTGTTTTCTGCACATTATTTCATTACTCTTAATTTTGAGCATGGGCTCCTTTATACTTAGGTATTTTAATCCTAGCACTGAGTATGTAAGGGTAAACAGTCCTTCAGCGCATGTATTTTTAGCACCTTGTCTCTATGTGTTTGGATTAAGCATGGTTCATAATCGTAGGGCAGAGCCGAATGTAGCGATGGGTAGGTTGCTTGCCTTCCAATCCCATAGCCCTACCGTAGTTGTAAACAGGGTTTTTCTCCAATTTCTACAATTAATAACAGCTCCTCTCCCTAAAGCCAGGTTTCATTGAAGCCGCTCCACTGTCGCTACAGTGTGTTCAGTGCAATTGTGTAGCAGTCCCTATTGCAATCGGGAACGCTTCCCGATTTAACTGACCAATCAGCGTCGCCAAAGGAGTCGGCGATAGCGTATAGCGATTTTTTATGGAAGCCAGGTATCATTCCCGCCAGTAATAAGCAAGTTATCGCGCTCCTGGATGTAAAAATGTTAAGTTCAATGTGTGATCATTGTTCTTTAGGGCAAATAGAATTTGTTCTTTTGCCTTTGTCTTCAGCATAACCATGCACAGTTGACTGTATGAGAGAGCTTCCTGAATATTCTGGACTTCTGAAAGAAACTGAACATCTTTTAACAAATTTGTTTTTACAGTCCTGAAAATTGCAATTTTTCCTCAAATTCCAAATATTCTAAAATCTTGATTGCCTTTTTAATGATAAATATTTCACTTCATAAAACAGTTTTTTTTTTCTTGACTGTTCTTTATTATCTTGCAATATGTAAATATGTGTTCAAAGATGACACATTCTTCTTATCACTCTTCCCACAAAGTCCACTGGGATTATCAACTACAAGCTGATGAGAGGCGGTGCATCTTGTGGGTGTCTGTTCCACAATGGTGCCTCTAAAAAATTACTGAGAGATAAAAGTGTAACTGCTTGTTGTTGAGTATGTCTGGATCTACTGGTTTTGGGGTTGATAGGGTGGTAATACACCTGTCATCAAAATTCATTTGTCCCATTTTTAAAATAGATTAATTTGTTGGATATGAGTTTGTGGTCCCCATATATCAAATACTTGCTGCTCTGATAGATCTCAAAGGTGACCTTTGACTTTGTCTGGTAGGTTAAATAGGCAAAATCCTGTCTGTAATTAACTTTCACAACTTGGAATATTTTTAAAGATCTGTTGACCCTTAATTTTTCTCTAATCCATAAGGCCAAATGAAAAATATAGGTGGGAGCGGTTAAAAAAAAAAAAAAAAAATTTATTTCTTAAAGCAGTATAATTTTACACGGTCGCTAGCCAGACTGGGCCTAAAACATCAGCCAATTGAAGCAATGTAGGCTGCCTAGATCGTAACGCAAACCTTAATCTATTATTTGTCTTCATTGTACAGTATAATTATCATATTTATACATTGTTTATTATCTAAAAACAACCAAAATTACTTACGCCTATTACTACTACTAGCGATCACATATGTGTCTCACATGCTGCTGCTGCAAAATAAACAAGACTTACAATGTTTGGTGGCACTCTCTACAGCTTGTTCCCGGCACTCGAGGTGAATAAAAACGATCATTTTCCGCTGAATTATTGACATTTTTTAGTCGAAAATTCATCATATTTAAAAAAAAAAGAGAAAATAAAAGAGAGAGAGGCGGTTAGAAAATCAGGGGCGGGCACTAATGCTTAACAAGTATCTTTTTTTATTTGGCCTAATATACATGCCCCTTTACAACTTTACTCTTAAATTTCTATTGGTTACTGGTGGCTTTGTCTTGTTTAGCTTCACTTTAAATACATCATTATTTTTCTGTCTCCTTGTCATGTCTCCCTGATTTATAACCCTCTAGATAGTTGTCAAATAATTTCTTACTGTTCCCACTCATGACAAAGGCCAACAAGAATAATATTAATATTTACTTGTGCTCATCGTATGTTTTATTTTAGTAATTTGCGAAGTTATATAATTACTACAATACAATACAATAGTATATTAAATTTCAATTTTCTTTAAATTATAATTTTGAGTTTTTTTTACAGATGTGTAAATAATAAAATGTTGTATTATATTTAGTGATTTTAATGTACCTTGGATAAGTAATTATATCTGTATCTCTTATTTTTTGAAATTATATTTTCAGTATGGTAATTGATCTCTTATTTCAGTAATAATCAATATTGTATTTTTGAAATAATTGATCTTTTGGTTATATTTCTTTTGATTATATTTCATAAGTAATCCAAGCTTTATCTCTTGGGTTTGCAGGAGCAATCAATATCTCTCTTTATTTTATTTATTTTTTCTTAGTAATATTGTCTTGATTATATATGAAAAGTAATTAATATTTTATTATATTTCAGTAATAAATATTTCTTCATGTGGATTTCATCTAAGTATAGTAATTCTATATCACTTGATTATTTTATGAATAATCAAAATTTCAGCTTAATTAGTCATTTCAGAATTAATTGGTGTCTCTTGATTGTATTTCAGTAATGATTGATATCTCTTAATTATATTTCAGAAATAATCGATGTATTCATTCACAATTTTGGAATGGAGTCATAAAACAAGGACTAGGAAGGTAGATTTTGGGCTAAATCTAGACATTCCATTTTTTCTCCATTTTTTGGATGTAATTTTTGTATTTTTGCATGATGTACTGTAGTAGAGTAGAGGCACTGTTTGTTCAGTAGAGGTAAAGATGTTTTTTGGTTTAAATTTGTTGTAGTTTGTTTTTTCCGTGATGGTTGTGTTAGTTTGGTGTCATCTTCCCTCAATTCTTTTTACCACCTACAGAAGTATAAAGTATCTCCATGTTATTTTTTTTTTACATCTCTTCAAACCAATCTTCCTTTCATCTACATTTTTCTCTTTGTTATGTGTTCCTTTCAGTAAAACACTTCATCTGACATAATTCTCTTCATCTACATTGCTGTACCTTTTCATCAAGCACATCATCCTCCTCCGTGTTCACCTGTTCTTATTCACCTTTTATCATCTCCTTCATCTGACATCTATCTCATCAACTAAACATATTGCTTTATCATAAATGCCACCTAACACATGATCACCTTCATGAGCGCATCTTGCGGATTAACAGGGCCTTATACCATTAATGTCCAATTTTTCTAGCACACACTCTCTCTTCATTGATTTTTCATCTAGCACACATTCTCTCTTTTGAACACTGTTTCATCATTCTATTGTACTTCTCAGTGTATCTAGCATACTTAATTATTCACGGTGTATTTCCTTTCTCGTCTAGCACACCTCTGTTTAACATACAGTAGGCATTCACTTTTCATCTAGCTAGCTCTTTATCTAGCTCATCCTCACAGTACTTCATTAGTAATTATGTCAGCCAAATTTGATGATCCCAAATAATAAATTCTTGTATATTTACAATTTTGAAACGAGGACCTATATTTCTTTTGTTTTTATATCTTGGGATTTCTATATATTTTTAACTAGTGGCCACGGCTTAAAGTTTTATTCTGAAATTATTTTGGCCGCCTTCCACTCACTTATTCTGTAATGTGCTTTTATTCTTAGTTGGTTTTACTATTAAGCTTTTGTTATGTATGTTCTTATGTTCATGTGTGTGGAGAAATAAATTAAACAAACAAACAAATAAGACCTAGCTAACCTTTTATTTCCAATAAATTATGGCCCCTGAACATTTATTAGATAATGATAGAATCCAAATCAATTTTCATGTGAAGTCCTTACAAAGAAAGTGACAACTATTAAAATGTAAGCCTGGCCTATTGTAGTTGTTTTATTATAAACTTTGCAATCATCCTTGTAGCATTTGTGCTAATTATGATGAGATAATGAATATTACATAAAATGAAAGACTCAACATAAAAATGTACTTTATATAGTTTAGTCCATACCATAGTATGTTTTTATGTAGTAAATGATTAGTGTACTGCATTAATGGTCAACACAAATATTATCTAAGGGATTGCTAGTAAGAAAAATAAGATTTATATTCAAAATTTTATTTAAATGTAAATATATTGGTCTACCAATTCATCTTCACCATTTTTATTATAGCGTAATTTTAAAAATAGTTTTTTGAATGAGTTTGGAAGTGGTCCATTATTTAACAGGTGTAGTCCAATTTTAAATATTATAATCCAAGGTCTATATCTTGCTGTAAATGAATCCCTTAGTCAGTACATATTTCCCCATAAATAATGTTGATCAGACTGGAAATGTCAGGCATTGCACATGGGGATGGGAAGGTGTGAATGCAAGAAAAGGAAATTACCTTTGGTGATCTGATAAAGGGCTGTTAGCTCCCAGAGTGGCCAGTGTATGAGAATACACGGCTATCATACATTTCTCAAATTTCAAAATGAATCTCTGTACTATGCCAAGTTCATTGTGATTATTGCCATAAATATACACAAAATTTATTTTCCTATGATAGGATATTTATAGTTTGCTTTTAAATAATCTTTTTAACTTAGCTTACATGAGCTTTCCATTTAGGGACTGTTGCAAAAGGACATAAACACCATCATTAACTGTTAATTACAGACAATTAACAAGTATTCTTTTTATTATAATGTAGATGACTTTTTGATTTTGTCTCAATTTATGCAAGATTGCTGTCCCATGTGGTATGTGTGATGGTTGAGGTAATTCATGGCTCTCATTAGGTCCCGTTCAGATCTTTAATAATGGGTATCTCAGAGGGGAAAGTAGGTCTAGTAGTTTGAGTGTAACATCTCGACTGTTAACACATCAACAATTTTAATGCACATGGCTACCTGTACTTTTGCTCAAATAGATATGTAATTAACCTGTGCGACAAATTTTAACAGGGACCTAATAGGACATGTTTGTGAATTAATAAGTACATGGTATCACTGCTATTTGTCAGTTCTTGCACTGCATGTTTTGTCAAGTTTATATTTGGTTCATTTTATTGGTCATATATTGAGTGTTGTGTCTATTTGCTGTTTCATACAGTCACTACATTCATACTGTATACCAAGTTACATCAACTGATTTTGCAAATTTCTATTTTCACTGTGTATCAAAACAATAGTACATTTCACAGATTATTTAGAATTTTTTCCCCATTTCATGTATTTGTTACATTAATTATTCATTGTCATCATTCAAAATTCCATATTTTGTCATTTATATTTCAATATACTTTTGATATTTAGTTTTTGTTTATATAATCATTCATTTTAAATTTGATTTTTAAGTAGTAAATGTGTAGTAATGCTGTTTTCTCTTTTTGTTTACTTTTATACATTCATTCTTTTTCATGTCTCATGACATAAATTCCTTATTTTTCTTGTATATTCAGAAAATCCCAAAGAAAGTTTAGTTTTTTTTAGATATTTCTAAAGATAGATAAACATAGAAAAATTGGTGATGAATACCCAGGAGATAAGTGCTGTGATATAGCTTCAGCATCAAGTTGAACCTAAATGAATTCTACCCTTGTCTTGTCTAATACCCTTTACTAGTTTGATTTTCTTTGCCAAACTACTGATGTATTAATTCAGTTTGACCAAAAATTGCCAAAATGTGAATAAGTTTACTTAGTAATCATGAGTTGAAACCAGTTTTCTCGGAGCAGTGTGTGTGATTTTTATCGCAATATTTTGTGTGCTGAAGAAAGTTTTATTCTTTATTATTTTTTTATGTCTGTATTCACCACTATGTATTGGTGCATTCTGGTTCTTGTACCAGAGTCCTCCTGCTCACATTGTATAGTAAATGCATATTTAAATAGACAACTAAGTGTTAAACATCTGTTAATGCAACATAAACTACAGAATGTCACCATGCTGAGAAATTTGCAATAATTATGGCCGGTCACTGTGACTTTTCATCTGCAATAGAAACACTATCATCTATCGTGTAGACATCCAGTAGAACGGGATGCAAACTAGACATAGCGAATGACCTTCTGTACACTGTTCCGTATCTTTATTATATGCCCTACGGACAAGAAGACAATAATGTAACCGGCATCAAACTTAAGCCTCTTTCAGACAGAGCTGGAATACCACAATAAACATAAGTTAGCGTTGAAAACAATTGGGCGTGTTGGTATTCATGTCGGGATGTTTACCACAATATTGCTGCAACATCAATCTGAAAGGCACTAAATAATCTCGCAATTGCTACAATACATATTTCTACACTTCGTACTAGTTTTGGTAGTTCGGTTTTTGACTGAGGTAATTTTATTTTTAGACACGATTCTTATTTTTTCCTCAAATATTTTTATGCAGTGGTACCGTATGTATCAAAGTAATGCCTATGACCTGCTGGTCCATTGGAATAACTCTTTTCCTCCTGTAGATTAATGACAGAGCTTGACAAAACAGTCTACCGTACCATAGAGTGAGATGGGTGGTTGTGGATATTTCATTATTATCTTTGGCAAACACTTGGCTTTAGACTCAGCAGTAGGCCACACCAAGTTTGAAAGCAACTGGGATGTGGCATTATAGAATTATTATAATCTTAACATTCCGTGTTTTGAATGAATTAGTTTATATTGTTTTTATTAAATTAAAAAACTGGCATTAAAACTTATCACATAGAGCAATGTGTAAACTATTTTCTTTTCTGTAGTATTAAGAATTAATATGGGTCATATTTTGGAAATATTTTCAGCTTTTTATGACGATTGTGATTTATGTACTGTACAAAAATTAAGCAATTTTTATATTTTCAAAATCTGTTAATTACATTGATAAAACTTAAATAAAATGAGTACAAAGTAATATGTATGTTGGAATGTCTTGTATTACTGTGTGCATCTAGGGCCAATGGATGAATTGTATTCTTCAATCAAGTATGTTCTTTTTAGTATTTTTTAAAAAGTAATAAATATAATTTGGATTTTTTTTTTTGTTGACAGGGAGTCAATGGTACGAGTCAAAGCTCAGGTGATGATTCCGACTGATGGTATGTGGGTACCACTTGACGGAGGACTTAGCACTGTTGGGATTTATAAGCATGTGTATGAAGACTCAAGGAAATTTGAATATTGGGTTAGGGCAACACAAAATACAGATCTATGTGGAACTGTAAGTACTATTTATCTATCAAGTGGTTTGTGCTTAACAAATAAAGTGTTTTTTATTTTTAGATTGGGTTCATTTAGAGCACAGATGGGCAGTGTGCCCCCACCCCCAAAAGGTTCAATTTATTTAGTCATACCAAAATACATGAAATGCGGCTTCCTGGGTCATTAACATAGAATAAGCAAATCTGACCCATTTTATTCCTATCCCTGATTTAGGGGATAGTCAGTTCAAGTTTTTGGTCTTGATGCGTACTGTTAACACTTCAAATGGTATGTTATATCTGACTTCAGTTTGGGAGATTGACATTTTAGTGAAGACAGTTTGGATGATATAATAGCACACAGCTGGACATATTCTGTTGAACATTCCGATTGTATGTACATTACATAGAGTTTGAAATACTGTACAAGTAATAATTGTTAATAAATCTGTTACCAACACTGGTATGTTTAGCGAATATGGATAAAATGGTTCTCGTGCCTATTGCTTCCAAATCACATGACAAAAAATGTTGAGCGTTTCCCCGTCAGGGAAATTTTGGCATGCATCCCCTGCTAAGTTACCTCCGTGTGAATGTGTCCATGTATGCATAATGTAAGAAAGTAAGCAGACATCACAGAGGCCATGCATGCTCCTGGTGCACAGTTTATGTCCTCTCTGTTGTGTTCACGTATTTGTAATACCTGCATATAAATTGTACCAACTTTTAGCAAGGTTTGTATTTGTTTGTGTGAAGACAATGTTATCTCAAGGAGGAGCAATGCCGTAGCCAGGATTTTCAAACAGTTCGTGACAATATCAGGGTGGACCCATTTACGCATAAATTCAAACAATGTGTACCAATTTTACGCAAAAATATAAAAAATCTGGACCCATTTTCTTAAATTTTACCCATTTTAAGCTAAATATGAGAAATATGGACCCATTTTCAAAAAGTGGACCCATTTTATGCATAAAATTGCATAATTTGGACCCATTGTTAATAATGTGGACCAATTCTTTGTGGACCCATTAGAAAAATTGTGTGGGACTGTCCCAATAGCTAACTATGGCATTGAGGAGGAGTATTTTGGAAATCAGAAGCTAAGGAGCTGAACAGATTAATTAAACAACAAACAACTACGTAAAAAAAACAAAACGTACCGTATTGTCTCTAATAAATGCCCACTTCTAATAAACGTCCCCTCTGAGTTTTTGTTTTTTTTTTTCCAATGAGTGCCCAATCAATTAACATGGGTATCCAGTCCATAAAAAGGTTGACAAACAAGGAGTAATACTGTGTGCTGCTTTCTTTGATATGACATGAAATAAATACTACTCAAAAAAGCTTACCCTAAACGTTTGATGTTTACTGTCTTCACGATTACTAGGCCTATTTTGTGTTTCTCTCATGGTATTTCGTTAGCCTTGTAAAAACAGGGTGAGCAGCAAACTGACGGCAAACAACGGGTAATCGTGTATTGTTAATGTGTCGCGTGTTCGACGCTGATTTGTCAAGGTGTCTGGTCAATGAAGTCTATACCGTAGTGAGAATGTTTCTTCAAGTTGAGGGCGTAAAAAATGTTGGTCTAAACATGGCTGTTTCATCTTCAAGTATGGAAAAGTACCAGTATACATATAAAATTGAGAGTACTGTTAGAGGATTCCATGTGTACCAAGAAACTTGGATTCCAAAAATCGGAGAGATTCTACCAACAGTTCATGAGGCTGACTATGTTTTTGACAAGCACGCGATTGCTGTTGTGAAAGGAGAAGCACCGCGCTGCATCGTCGGACATTTACCCCAAGAGAACTCGAAGATATTTCATTTCTTTTTGAAACACAAAGGAATTATTGATGTTCAAATAACCAGCAACAAACGAAGGAAAAGCAAAATAGCAGGAGGCCTGGAGATACCCTGCACATTAACTTGTTCCTCTACAAATAAAGAACTTATTGACTGTTTAAAGCAGCTTGTTTAGGTAATTTTTGATTTTACAATTCACCTCCAATAAACGCTCTTCCCCCCCCCCCCTTTTTGAAAAAATGCAACGCCCCCGGGGCGTTGATTAGAGACAATACGGTAGGTTTGGGAAATGTTATAAAAACTGATTTGCGTTTATGATGCATCTTTTCATAAAAATATACGAAATAGTGTCTTTTCCAATATGTAAAGTATATGTAATTTATTATCAAAATATAAGATTAATGTGGTAATTACAGCGGATGGGTCCATGGTTACATGTAGGGAGTTGTTTTTTTTTTTTTTGTAGGTGTGTTGAATTCACTTTCTCCTGTCATCAGTGTTTTTTGTGTATTTCGATCAAAATGAAGACTTTAAACGGAAACCGTCCTTGCTGGTTTTTAATACACACATCCTTCCTGGTAAATGAGTCTAACTTCCTATAGAGTCTTTGCGGGGACAAAGCTTCAGATTGTGAATATATAAGCACAAAAAATGATAAGAGGCAGTGAATTCAATTTAAACCATATTCTTGCATAATATCTGACAATCTGGAATCTCACTATGAACCAGGAATTGATAAATTAGTGTAAAGAACATTTATAATATATGAACAAGAAACAGAAATACAAAGTGATGTTTGTTCTTTACTAGACACTTTTGAACTACTGTAGTTGCTATCGGTATTAATTGTCTGAATACATTTTTCCTATAATTCTCCTACTCCCAATTCGTTGAATAGATATGAATTCATTGGATAAAGCTAAGGAAAAAACCGTAGTAGTACTTGGTATTCTAAATATTATTATGTAGCCTAGTCAGTCCTAGTTTGATAAGGCCCAATAAAAAAAATTATTAGTTTATCACCCTCGCGCGCATGCTTTTTATGGTACTAAAAAAAAAAAAATTAGAAAAAAATAAAAAAATTTTAACACTTTTTAAAATTTTATTTTATTTATTTTTTTCATTTATTTTATTAAATAGTTAGTAGATATTGTTTGCATTATCTAAATCATGTTTTACTTTGAATATCAATGCACCAGCAAACAAACCAAGGGTTATATTTGGCTTTAGCAAAATAAAAATTTTTTTAAAAAAAGGCCTCACTCCCTCATCACTTTTCCTGCCCAGATAGGGTGATAAACTAATAATATTTTTTTTTAGGCCTAATGCCTACTTCTTGGACAATTTTAACATAAATCCTTAAAACATAACTCCATAAGTCAACATATTTTTTACTTAATTGTATTTTATCAGGTTATTATTTAAGTTCATTTTGAAATACAAATACTAACTTACTATTTAATGAAGCTGCAGTTGGCATATATTTGATACACATAGTGTGTGGATTGGAAAATACAGTGGGCCTAAGTTTAGAATTTGACCTAAGATTGACCTCAAATCAAAACCATTTTTCCCATTTACAAAAGAGTACAGAATTAAATGTTACACAGTACTCGAAAACCGTATGGTTTTCAGACATGATTCAGAACCAGAGGCAGAGCCCAGAGCTAACTGGCAAAAAAGCAAAACCTAGGAATATGACCACCTTTGTTTCAATCTAATACAGTAGTAATGATATCCCAAATACGTACCCCTCCATTCGAATAGTGTAAAATGTTTTTTTTTTAAATTGTTTTTTAATTTAAATCTTGATGTATCAGGCCTGATGTTACCATCAATATTGATGAGAGGTGGTCACAAGTATAATTTATAAGCCATGAAATACTCGGACCTAGGCCTAGGGTTGTAACGTAGTGTGGAGCCACCTCACAACCCGTCAACAGTGCAAACTGGGGTAATTAAGCATGGTGGGCCAAGAATGGTCAGCGTTTGGTTCGAACCCTCGGCAACCACCTTCCCCAAAGAATAACATCTTCAGTGGTAAGGCTCTATAGTGGACAGAGGGATATCCTTGTCATGCAATAGTTCATACTTGATAGTTTGGTATTTTTTTACTTGCCAGATAATTTTTTAGAATTTTTTTAAAATTTTTTATAGTATTCATGACCAGTGTTTCATTTTACAGAATTTAAAATATCTGGGAAAGCAATTACGGTCTGGTATAAAAATAGAAGAAGTTGATTGAAATGCTATCCCATGTATGTAGGTTTACATCTTAATAATTAGTAAATCAGAGCTGGTTTCTCTTTTAACTTGAGCCTTCGGCCTGACTAAGGCAGATCTTAATAGAAAATGCCCTGTTGTGCTGTGGTGACTGAATGATTTCTACCACAACAAAGGCCCTCTGTTTAGCAAGGTCAGACTATAATCTCTTGTATTTGAATTATTGTAAATCCAACCAAAGCCAGGTGAATTCCTCCACTGGTGGCTTAAACTTTGTCCTATTTTCTATTTACTTTTCCTTAGTTATGAGTGATTGCACTTGCCTATAGCTTATCAGTTCCAAATTTGAATAGTTATTTGAACCAGCCAATGGATCAATATGATTTGGCCAAATGAAAAAAAAAATCTTGTTTCCCCATCTCTGCCCACATTGAATTTTGGCAGCATGTCCAATTATTATTCATATTTTTCATATTCAAATTGATTTGTTTTTTAGCCCACAAATTCCACATCTGCAATTGGCAATCACTGACACGTACCATATTATCAAGCCCAAGTTACCACAGAATGGCATTTATTTTGCCTTTTTTTATATTTTTGTCATAGAGTAGAAACTAATTTTTGATTACAGTAGGCCTATGTCATTTCCCGGGTCTCATCGAACTCATTTGTAAAATATGTAAAAGAAAATGTGTAGGCATACATACAATCAAGGTTGTTCCTCTCGCTTAATCTGGGGAAATAGGCACAAAAAACATCCAAGTATTTTTTGGTTAGTCTAGATAAACACCTGCCTGAATCGAAAATTTTTTAAAGCATTTATTAGGTGGAAATAAACTGTTTTCTAAAAGCACATTTGGAAATCAGGGTCAGTCGGTCGGCTTTAAAAAAAGAAATTTTTTTTTATGTCTTAGGATTCAGTGCCAACCATTACTCTCATCATGCATTTTAGTTGATAAAATGGTCCCACCATGAAGGTATAATCCCACATACATTATAAGCCTAAGATCTTGGTTATGATCAGATATTTAGAAGCATGAAAGGTTGCCATTTTCCCTATGTTGGTAGTTGGACTTGATCAACACATTTTTCGTGACTTGCTCATTGCCCAGCGTGGTCAGAGGAAATTCCTAAAAACATCTCATCTGGCCATGTGAATACTTTCCTTTGTACATTAAATAGCCTCAAGTCTGTGCATATATTGACAGGAACTTGCTAATCATCATCATTTAAATTAGGAGCACATTACTTTATATAATGAAGTACTGAAAATTGATAGGCTAACTATGGTAATTTATGATTAGAATAAGAAATTACAATAGAACATAGAAATATAGTAAGTATAGGTTTCTTAAAAGCCTAAGGTGTCTATAATCAGTGATGTATCATTATGGCCATTTTTAAATAACCAAATTAAACAGTTGTCGTAAAGAATCATTCCACTAAGCCTTGCTCCTTGGTGGTTAAGATCACAAAAACAAAATGGCTGCATAAACGTAAACTTGTGGGACATGCGCATATTCCTGGCTATTGAGTAACATACAGTATTTTGATTGGTCAGTTTAAGTCTTACATTCCAGAAAGATCCAAGTACAGTATCATACAATGTTGTTGTGATAAAAACAACATAAATTCTGCCATGCTTGAGTTCATTGACCAACAGACTTCATATCCAAGAAGACAAAACTAGTCATGCATGGTGTCGTTGGTAGAATCTAAAAACGACAAGACCCTGAGACGTACTTGATGAATGTGTGTTGATGAAATTAACAAGTGCAGTTGGAGGCAGTCAGGCTTACTACCTCTCTGCTCAGCCATATGAATCGATAGTGAGTTGGCCTAGAAGAAACAAAATCTATTAATGTTGCATCCATCAAATTACTAACTGCCCGACCTGGAATCTTAGAAGGCTTCTCGGCATCATAATTCTTTAAATGATATTGATATTATGATAAGTACCAGTGACCTTGTCTTCTGGATACTTACTACTATTGATTCTTCCCAATTTTCAACACCAAACTTACACAAACTTAAATAATTCTATACTGGCATTTATTAGGTTATCTCCCATAATACACCTGCCAGTGATTTCATTATAACATTTCTTTCACCTGTGAATGTCTTTACTACATCATGTTGCTTTAATTTGTCACTTCCAACAGATTCCATCATCTGTGTTAAAACATTCTACACAGTTGTTTCCTGCAATTTCCCTCTCTTTTTTTTTCATTTAAAAAAAATTATTTATATAGTTAAAGGGGTTTTTAAATATAGCACAGTTCTCCCTCCAATTAAAGACCAATTTTGGGACCGGAGGTTCCATGGTCAGCTGTGGTGTCTAAGTAGAATGATAAAAGTAAAAGGAATTTGGGACCAGAAATTTGGTCTTTTATTAACGGTAAACCTGTACAGTAATAGTGTTTACAATATTTACAAAGATTTGATTAAAATTAATACATACAAGATTATACATTTGATATGATCAACTGGTTGGTCAATTGCTTTAAATCTAAAATAGATTTGATACACTTGTTTATCAAAAGTGAATCGAAATTTCATATTTGACATTTGCCATTTAAAGATGGAAGGTAATCCATCTTAAAGTATGCTCTCATGTCATACTGATGGTCATGTGACCACTTCCATATTATAATTCATAACTTACTCAATGATTTGAATACTAAGCGAATTTTGACTTATTTAATAATAATAAAATTTTATAACGTGTTGCAAAATTACTTGGGAATTTACTGTACATTTGATATTAAAAAACTTTTCCTTGCTAAATTTTAAGATTTAAATGTAAAAGAAAAGTAAAATGTAAAAAATTGATGACACCTTTATGAAAGGGTGTAATTTTCATTGGTTTTATTTCATTGTTACTGACTTATTGCCAGCTACCGTGGTTGTATTTTAGTTGTAGCATTTAAAACTACACATCAAATTGTTGCAGTATCTCTCCCATAATTTGCTTAAATTTACATGTAGGTAGCCAACTGAAAACACCATTGTGCACCTTATCACCCCTTGAAGTGAATTACATTATACCCCCAATTAAAGGGACACCTTTGGGACCAAAAAAGTGTCCCTTAAACGGTGGCGTAACCTGAATAGGTTGCATGTAATGTTGAAACATGTTTGCGACCAAAAGTCTCTACTGAATAGGTGTCCAAAGAAAGAGGTTCTACTATAGTTTGTAAAATTAAATCATCGTCGAATCTCCTAAATTTTGACAGATAATACAGTATTAGTATAAAAGTATTCTATTGATGATATCACCATTCATTCCTTTGCTTCCCTTTTTCCAGATTGTTGTTGATTGTCAGATAAAAAAAGACCTACGCTACGTCAAGCCATCACCCATATTCCATCACTGGCTAACAGACAATAAGAAATTTGGATTGGTCTATAACAACACGTATGATGCAAAGGCCTTTGATAGAGGAATACAAAGAGCAGTGGAGGAGCTTATGGATGGTGAGTATTACCTTCACCATAACATATTTTGTTCGCAACTCAGAGATTGATCTATTGGACTTATGAATTAAACCATGCATCAGATTTAGTGTCAACTTAATGTAACCGTATGATGGGACATTTTTATTGCCTTGGTTTTTATTTATGCCATAAATGACAACTGCAACATTTAACATTTTTTAGGATTCGGTGCGGCACTTTTTCAAGAGACAATTTAAAAATGACTAGTTTGATGCAACGTTAGAATAATAATTTCATTTAGAAATCAGTTGTTTATATTTTTTTAATATGAGACATCAACGCACAATGCTTAAGCACCAGACATTTTTTTCGAAATACGATATTTCTCAACAAGCATTGCGCGTATTCTAGAGGGGCGCTTGGTGAAAAAAATCAGCTTTGTTGCGGTATTTACTTGAGGAAGCGCATATTTGATTATGTATAGTAATGTAACTGATAATCTGTGTCAAAAATGTACAGATTACAGCTGGCAGTGTGGTAGATTAGCAAAAGCATCGTGTCCCATACTGGATGTACTTTATTGTGAGTCATTAGGGGCCATTGTCCCATCTCCAAAACCAATGTGCATAAAAACCAACATGCATGGAAGAGCCTTTTGTCGTGTGTTTATGCTTCATTTATTCTTTCAATGTTCTTGTGTAGTGAGATGGAATGCTGGGATGAATGATGTTTCTATGTGCAATTAACTTGGGTTCAGTCCCCCTTATTTAGCAGTTCTGCTATCGTTCATTTAATAAAGTATTAATAGTATTTATAGTTTCTTACTGTGCCGGAAAGGTGTATATATTGGAACTTTAATTTAAAATTTCATAAATTATGCTGATTTGATATTAAATGTTAATTTGAGACATCTGAATCCGGTTTCTACTGTAAAAAAATAGGATACTGTAGTTTAAATTTTTTTTTTTTTGTAGTTGGCCTCTTTAGTAGTAGAGCAAAGTATAACTTCTTTAAAATACTCTGCTGTAAATAAACCAGAGTAAAACCTCATTTTACATACCTCAGTTACGAACCCTCAGTTTTACGTACACGCTGTATTGCTTTTTATATGGAGTAATATATTTTTCATGTTAAGATTTTCTACTAAATTCAATGATGTATACTTATTCAGCAATGCATTTTAGTATCATCATCCAATGTTTTTATACAATTAATGTTATTGCACAAAATTGTCCTATATCCACTAAATGTTAGTACATTTGGCATTCAACCATTTTTATCACTTCAGATCTTGGTTAATTTATTCTTAAGTATGGTACTTCATTTCCAATACAAATAAATTAATTGATGTATGATGTGCCTATGTAACAAGGTTAAATCTTGTAGCTACCATAATTCAATTTTTTTGTAAAATTTCACACTTCCAAAAGTAAAATCTTAAATGATGCCACAAGATTTATCATCAGTAGTTTTAACTGTTATTATTCATTGGGAGCCCAATGGCTCATACTGTGTATAGTTTATTACCGTCATGGGCAGATTTGCAAGTAGTGAAAGGTTTAGTAATTATTGGGTTTCTTGAAAATAACCTTGTAATTACTGGTGACAAATAGAAACCATAGAATGGCCACATTACTAATGTCGAAAGTATGTTGATGATTATACCAGACCAGTTGAGGAAACCTAAAGGCTCTTTCAATTGGATTGAGCTATCCACCATTGAAAGGAAAGGCTTACAGTATTAATAAGGCCAAATATGAAAATACACTTTGTTTAGCATCACATAATGCGGGTAGTTTTTTTTGTATAAATTTTAGTTAAAATTTTAGAATGCAAATCACCGGATTAGATGTAAGCTTAGAGGTGAATAGCCTAGCAAACTGGGATACAAGACACATACACTAAACCCTGATATTGCTTTTGTATAGTAATCAACATAAATATAATGAAGTAAATATAACTGGAGAATGTTTGTATGATTTAATTGCTTTAAATTATATATAATTAATGAATGAATAATTAATTAATTATTAATTAATGTGTGACTAATCAATAATAACAATAAAATATTTTTAACATTAAACCTATACATACCTCAAACTGCTCGAGTTATAATGTACCTAACATGAGAATTCGGATAAAGTAGCCTGTTTGCTTTGTGATGTGTATTTATTTTGTTGGAAAGGCGACTTACAGTATTACTGTAGATCCTCTTTAGTAGTTTACTCTTTCCATTTTTTGCTCATGAAACATGAGTGTAGGCTTACATTTAACTCTAATCAATGTTTCCAATCAACACATGTATAGTATACATGTCAAGACTTACTTTAATCAAATCATTAAAAATGAACATTCATTAAGCACTATATACAAAGACTAAAATTTTCATTCTGTTAATAAGTTCACTCATGAATATGAGTGAAATAATTTAAGACTAAATCAATAAGTCCTTAATTTGAAATCCTATTACATTAGTGGTTGTAGCTTTTCATATAAGATCAAGAAGAAAGATAATCTAATTAATGAAACCTTAGTGCTTAAAAATGCAGATTCCATACAACATGTCTTTTAGTAATAAGCGAATTGTTACTAAACCGCACAAACATAACAAGCCCTGTGCAAACATTACAAGCCCACGCAAACAAGTCCCCCACAAATATCACATCTCCCATTCCCAGATCTGCCCATGCTCAGAGAAGCATGTAAAATATTTTTAAAAATTGGTTATTTAAATTTGTCTCACCTAATGACCTTGGTCCCTGGCATTTTGTATTTCTTTAATTTTGTTTCTTTACTTCAAAAGAAAGTTGATGTTAAACCTCAGTCAGTTAGGGCCTATACCAAAGAATATAGAACTGCAAGAGGTCCTACTCTGAGGCTTTCGTTGGAATGTAATCTTATTTTTAAAAAATACTACCACAAAATAGTGGGCATCTTTCAAAAGGTGAGTTTGAAGCTATTCAAATTGTCTATCTCGTGGTACTACTAACGTTTCATTGTGTGCATACAAAATCTGGGCAGTTGGTCCTCTTTGCAATTCTGTGTTCTTTGGTGTACCCTGAAATGCTTAAACTCACTGTGTCTTGATTGTGTTTACATGCAATTCTAAATTAAATACTTGTTTAGCATCACTTTACACCCCCTAGTTTTGACCTTCATCTCAGTTTTTGGGGTTGTCCAACAAAAAATCAGTAAAGAAATTCTCAAGTTGTTAAAACATTGACTTCATAGGCTACACAGGCAGAACCATAAGAAATTAATGTCATAATGTGGTCTTGAAATTTCATTAATTTAGCCTTATGTACTGTACTGTATGTACTGTAACTTTCATTACTGCAGATTTGGAATGTTATGTAGATGTAAACTTCGAACAATTTTCTATCAAAACATTATAGGAAAGAATGATCTTTGTTTTTGTATAGATTATTTAAATAAACAGCCTTGAAAATCTCTTGGTTACTCTTTGAAAGCCTTGGTGAATATAGTGTAGTCTATTGATCCAGCAAACTGCCTTTGAAAGGATCGGTATCTGAGGTTATTGTGAATGCCGGATGTTAGTATTCCTCTTGGAGAGGACCTTATTTGTCTATCTCTTCTCATGCAGATCAAGTTTTTTCAGCTTCATTAATTCAACATAGTAAAACAGGGACAGATACAATAATACCTCAATTCCACTTAGTGTAATGTCAAGTCGGTTGATTTAGTCTTGGCTGATGAAAAATCTAGGCAAGATTTTTCTGTGCACTGATCGTTGTAGGTGTCTTGCCATCAAGTGGTGGTTCGGTAAGAATCACTGCTCCTATCAAACAGGCCTAGCTTCAACACAACCTCCTCATTCCACACCACCCTCCCTCCTCAAACACAACTTATCTGATCAGTAAAAAATACCTTTCATTTTAAAACCAATAAATTAAATTCAGAGTTTTTATAGGTGCTAGCACTCTTCCTTCCAATTTCACTACTTGTTCTGAAGCTTGAGTTAGATTTTGCCAATTTTAAAACAGGACTGGATATTTCTGACCAATACAATAATCTATGCAAGTTCAGGTGCCTAATGTCATCGATTTTGATAGAAAAATAACGGAGACATGTTGGTGGGAAAAAGTACTGCGAAGGATAATGACACCCACATCTGATAGGTTGTTAATATGAAAATTTCAATAACCGTTTGCTGCCGCTAACCAACAGCTAATTCCGATCGGCCTATGCTCATAGGGCTAACTGATCAGGTGTTGTCATACACACAAAATTTTAGGTTCTACAGTTAGTTCCTGCCATGGTTCCTGACAATAATTTGTGTGAACCAGATGATGCAATGAAGTGTGCTATGTGGTATTAAATAGTTGATAGAATGTGGTCAATGAGTTGGTTGCGAACTTGTTTGCGAATAATAATATACTCAAGCCATAGTGACTCACCTCAAAGAGGAAATATAGATTGATGTTGGATTGTGTAAGTAGGCGGCAGAGTATAATAAGTTAAGGAAAACGTTTCTACACAGCCACTGCTCTGGAAGAAACTATTTTGGCCTAGGTTTGAAGTTCACAAAATACTGTATCACATAAAAAAGGTTGCAATTAGCTGTAGTCTCTAAGTTCATATAAATTCAGACAAGAGAATATGAATATTTTTTGTGTGGGCAGAATGCAAAGGCAGAGAAATCCCAGTCTCTTCTTCCGACTTGGCATTTGAATGTGTCAGTAATTTAGATGGTTGGTCATAGGCTGTAGCTAGATGATTGATGTTTGAAGTAGATGCTTGCTTATCCTGTGTGATTTTTTTGCTGTGACAAGATCTTCAAACGATGACATGTTCTGAAAACAATGACATGTTCCTTTGGTGACTCAGCAAGCATTTTAAAGTCTAAATCAAATTTTCGGACAATAACAATAATAATCAGAAAACATGTCAGGGATTATTTGACAAGTCTAAAATTATTAAAACATTTTTAATGGCATGGATCTTTGTGACTGATTGTAAACTGTTTACTTTAAATGACATTCAGTACGCACAACCTACCAAGTAGAAGTAGAATTTAG